AATAATATTAACTAATCAATTTAATTAATAATTGAATTTTAAATTATATATTTTATAAATTAAAGCGGAATGGATCAAGTTTTTCTTATACCGTAGAGTCTGGATAATTTGAAGTCCACTTTTCGGGGTCAACAACAATAATCATTTGTATTAAAGATGAATATTTGTTCATGTAGTTTACTTTATCCAGACAGCAAAGCTGTAGTGGCAGTTGAATGAAGTTCATACATATACATTAACCAATAAACACGAGAATAGTAATTTTTGCAAAATATATTATACTTTTATTCTTCATTCAATATTTAATTCAAGATGGTCCTGATCGGGTACCCGATACCGATCAACCTGTAAACGAGAATGAGTTCATTCGTGGAATCTTCCAGACCACCCTCAAAGAATTTGATCTAATTTACTCTGGAGAACTGTCGGGGATAGTCTCATATGAGCAGATTGACGATATGTAAGATTATATTCGAAGAGAGCGTATTATTCCTAAAACTTTTTTATATATTTACACGTACATATATTATATAATTCGTTTATAGGCAAAATTTGGAAAATATTAACGAATTGCAGTTTATCAGTACAAAACTACTTTGGAATTCAGGACACTCGAAGATTTGGAAGAATCCAAAATGTTTGAACTGGTGGGCTACATTATATTTGGCAAACATTTCACATTTATGTGTAGGTTTGAAGGATAGGGATGGGTTCATACGTACCCCTGTACAGAGGAAGGCGCTAAAAGATCTACCAAAAGTAAGTTATATTCATTAATTTGAAAATTTCAAGTTTAATGAAATATTTTTAGGATCAATTTTGGAAACCGCAAATTTGCGTTAGATTCCTGCTGACCATGCTAAAATTGATTGAAGAAACCATGGCTTCTGTTAATTGTCCATACACAGTTTATGAATTTGTATATGACTCATTCGCAAAGTGTATTAAATTGAAAAAGCACATTGGTAAAACGGAATATTCTTTCTTAAGCGAGGAGTACATAGACCGTTGCAGAAAACAAACATCTATGTCATATTAATCAACCTAAAAGTACCTGAACATGTTATGTTATATTAAAAGTGACATCAAATGTTAACTAAATTTAATAAAAATGTGCTTTAATTATATGTGTACTGCATAAATTTGAATAAAAGTTGGAAAATAACAGCAAATAACGTTCTGATTATCACGTTGTCTTCATTGGCAACATTTGAAATTGGGTGTGGTAACACTGAAAATCTGCTGACTTTTTTACATCCCAGGAAAGTAAATATGAAATTTAAAAGGGGATTCCCTTTCATGTTATACCTTAACCAGATAAAGTAAATTATACATCACTGCCTTAACTTTGAAATACATACATATAAACATCTCACACTCATTCACTTATTCATCAGTCATTGTTATTGAATAGCAGCCGGTGTCTCTTACCATTTGTCACTTTTGCTTTTAATTTATTTAATTTTCCGCTGTTTTATAATTTATGTTAGACAAAAGAACAATGCCTTCTAATAATTTAAGTGATGGCTTTAAAGTGCTAATGAAATTACGTCCAAATGAAATAACCGATGAAAAGCGGCCAGCATTTTATCTGCAACGCCCAAAAATCCTTACTATTTACTCATGCCGACACGACAGCATTAGCAACGACGTGCATCTTCCATATTTTAAAAAGCCAACATCATATCCCTTGGATTTGAATGAAGGATTCGATCAATTCATTTTCAGGAAAAATAAAAAATTCAGGCTTCGTAAAGTAGAAAAATTCATTATAGAGAACGAAGAAAACATTTTGCAGCCGGATGCACAAACACCATCCGGATCTGGGCAGACACAAAACAATTCTAAACGTAAAGTGATTTTATGTCAACGCGGAGTGTTGACAGACATTATGCAAACACCTTATCATCTAAATGCATCCCATTCTAATAATAAGACGTTTTGTGTTACGAAGTATTGTGGTGTATTTCACATGCAAGATTCAGAAACGAGAACTGATTTTACACAAAAAGATACATACCATCAGAAATTTATGCAATTATGCTTTTCTGGTGAGTATCCTGATTACTTGATCGTATGATTTCATATGAATAAAATTAATTGAAATCATTTGCCAACCGAATTTGCAACTAATCTTAAACCTATTACTCATCTGCTTATAATCAGTACGTATGTACATACACTTTAGTTATAAGTCGCCTGGATATAGTGAAACGTAGAAGAAGCTTTAGACGTGTCAGAACACTGCACTCCCGTATGATCACAGGATGCGTCCTGATCCTACTTAGTTAAGCCTACATGCTTCCATTTAAAGAAAACAATGAACTCCTTTCCAAGCATATTTTGTCAGGTCATGACCCTTGCGCAACTTCTGGTTTTGTTTTTTAGCAGGTTAGTACGAGTTATTCTTAAGAATAGCCTCTTTGCGTAGCCATTGATTCCCACTTCGACCCACTTGAAACACCACTGGGCTTGTCTTTAGATGTCTTTGATTATAATCAACTTGAACTTTACCACCGAAGTGGGTATTAGATAATCGTTACAAAAACGACATATACATATATATAAAATTGCATAGTCTTGATAAATTAAGCTTTTATTTTTATTATATTTAGATGATCCCAATCGGGAACCTGAAACGGATAAACCGATTGATGACAATAACATAATTGTTTGTATCATTAAAACATCAGTGAAGGAGTTCGATTTAATCTACTCCGCAGAGATCGCAGGTATTGTGTCTGATCGGAAAATCGAAAACACGTAAGTACCATTTCAATATTCTAAAGTTTAAAATTTAAACTGATGGATATTTGTATTTATAATTACACAATCAAACGAATTAATTTTTATCAATTTTTAACTATGATTTTGGTATAAATATATAAAATCCAATAAAATGCTTTTTCAACGAAAATGAACTTTTTGGCAAAGTAAATGTACTTTCTACTAAGAAAATATAACTTTTATAATCATACATTTGTCGTTAATGCTGTATTCAAATATTTTTAGTCATAATATGGAAGAAATTAATAAACTTCGATTCATATTGACTAAGCAATTGAATACAAATGGAACTATGGGAGATTATTTAAATCATCGAAAGTGTTTGCGCTGGTGGCTGCAGGCATATTTGGCTAAGACAAGCGAAGTTTGCATAGGCCTGAGGGATGGAAACGGTATTGTGCGCACTCCAGTACAAATCAAGCGAGCTGAGGATATAGTAAAAGTAAAAAATATGAAATGCAATATTCTCACTTTTCAAATTATCTATTTATTGCTTACATTTTAGAATCGCAAGTGGAAACCGCATGTCTGCATACGTTTTCTACACTCCGTACTAAAGTTAGTAGAAAAAACCATGGTGCATGTAGACTGCCCATATACAGTCTACGAGTTTATGTATGACTCCATCACAAGATGCATTAAATTCAAAGTCCATGCTGGCAAAACAGATCTCTCTTTCCTGTCAGATGATTATATAAGGAAATGTAAACAGTCTGCTTCTCACTAAAACGTTTTTCATAGAATATCCATAATATTCATGCGTTTAGTACGCATTACATGTATGTCATTATATGGATGTATAAACATATGTGCATTTATGAGAATGGTAATGTCCATTTATCATTAGTATCTGTACAGAGAATTGTTATGCATTAAATTAAAGGTGTTTTTAGCACGTTTTGTTCAATAATTTATTGTCATTTTGAAGGTAGTTTCATATCACTTGCATACCTCAAATCAAGTTCTCGTTGTTTCTGGTGAATCATTATCGATGTGTATGGGTTGGAGTTGTCTTGCAGGAACACAATTTCCTCGCTATTTGCAAATACTGGCCATCTGTACGCGATTACTTCATTTAGATGGTCAAATTTTTGATAGTACAAGTCCGAATTAACAGTTTGGCCGTAAGGGAGTAGTTCATAGTATATGAATCCACCAAAAACGTAGTAAAATCTTACTGACCATTAATGCTGGCTTAGCCATCGTTTGCCCAGATTCACTAGAATTCGACCTATACCGGTTATACGTGAAATCATACCTAGTAATCAACTTTTCTTCACCAATAATCCTTCGGGATCGATTTTTTTGCAAGGGAAAATCGGTCTTTGAGATTTGTTTGCAATAATTAATGTGGCACCAATACCTCGAAGGTCTTTTTACATCCAGCGTTCTTTAAATGTTTCCAAACACGTTTTTGTTCATTGTTTAGCCAGGAATAAAGTTCAGCTTCTGGACCATTGAACTAGTATTTACATGACGGTCGGACTCAACGATTTCAATAACTTTATCGATATTTTTGATTTGACTTTATACAGCGGGGTGCAACAAAAAAAGGATGTCATCAACACCATTAATTGAAGTGAGAATTTACTTTTTTTGTAAACTATTGACTGTACAAAAAAAATCTGTTTGTTTCTGTTCAATATATTTGGTTACATTGCTGAAAATATCGATTTATTTCTATGTAACACTGTTCATATTTATCACAGTAACAATTTTTTTTAAGTTTTAATACATCCAAGAATGATACAGCATTTATGCATTTTGCTCTACTGGGATGTTATACGAAAACGGCAAAGCATAATGACTAACTGTCAGATGTGTAGGAAGCACATTTATTTGTTGCTGTCATTTGCTTTACGATTGTCGATCGAAGTGATTGGTGTGCTCTTGTTAGTTGTTGTTTTACTTGTTCGCATATCAGAGAAACTATAGAACTGTATATAAAAACTATAAACGCATGAGACAAATTTTAGACGATTTAGTGTAGCATACTTGGAACATCAAAGGCAGCGTTAGACACCAGTTACGTTTTATATACATACACACTCCGAGCCGATTCATTTTTTTTTGTGTAGATTACGCACCCATTGGTACAATGATTCCGGCAATAACATCGAATGACAAATTTCACAATGTTATTATTAGTACAGGAAATATTCTTAACTTAAATAACCAATTAGGTGGAAAGTCAACTGAAGAAATTCTGGATGGTTTAAGTTTGACTTTACAGTGCCAAGCAGCGGCCTCGCAAGTGGAATTGATTGAAGCAGATGGTTGTGTGCTCCGAGCCACAGAAGAGCTTAAGCAGAAGTTAACCGAAAACGACCGATCAGATATTAGTATTGGTGCAAAAATATTTTTAAACAAAAATTCTAGTGCATATATAAAGCAGGCGATAAGAACATTGTTGCATGTACTTAAGGTCGAGCACGTGGACAACGTGGTGTTAGCGTATCACCCGACAACTGGAGATAACTCATCAAACACCAACAGTAAAGAAGATGTTCAAAGTAATGAGAAATCAGATCAATTGAAAGAACTTTGGTCGTCATTGGAAGAGTTTGCTCAGCAAAAGAAAATAACACAATTGGGTATTGCAGATTTGGATATTGACCAACTGCGCCAATTATATGCCACAGTCAAGGTTCATCCAACCATAGCGCAAATTAATTTGGAATCGTGCTGTGTAGTGCCGCCAGCATTACAAGAATATTGTACAAAACACGATATACAACTGTTGACACATAGTGATCCAGAAGTTTTGCTATCTGATGAACAATTCATTGTTCCCGGATACCAAGTGGATTGGACTTTACGTTATCAAGTACATGTCCGATGTCGCGGTGTAATAACTGCCAAAGGCTACATACTTGGAGCCAGCAAATGCGACCAAATAGAAAAACAAGTTGCAGTTTGAACGCCATTTTATTTAGTTCAGAAGCTATCAACGCGGGTGGAGGGCAATTGCGCGTAATTTGTGTGTGTGTTTGTGCTACTAAAGAGTGAGACTGGTTCAGCGATCGTGACTAAATTTGTGGGTCCAAAACTTTATTGTGGTGAATCCAAATATACTATTTATGAAAGTAGTAAAGGGATTTGATGGCCTTACTGGATGCAGCATGCTAAGCTTTTGTATCACTGCAAAAAATAGATTATCACACATCCTATATGCATATGAATTTATATAGACGAAGTAGTTTGCGCCCCATAAAAATATACTTATATGTTATATATGATTATTTACATTTTATATTTTATTGCTGCTACATATAATTAAAGCAATATTGAGGCATTGCAAATATACATATAATAAACATTAACACGTCTGAAAGACAAATTCGAAAAGTAAAAGTTTACGAGTGTATATAAGCTACAAAATAAAAAATCAGAAATACAAACTGATAATATGTAATAAAATGTTGTAAAGATTTATTGTTTTACATTTAATATTAACACACAACTGCTGACATTTTCCTAAATTAAGAAAAAAAAACACTTTTATCAAATTTGTGCATTAATTTTTGAATAATACATTAAATAATAGAAAATAATTAAAATATGTTTTCGTAATTCATAAACATAAAACTATACATGCATATAGACGTATTTATACTAATAAAACTGAAATATGCATTGTAAACTTAAAATAAAGCCATGAAATAGGTATAATATGAAAAACAAAACACCTGCAAGCTATGGGTTTATACATACTTATGTATGTAGAATTTTCTTGTATTAATGTAGTAATGTAATTGCACGATTCGCTGCAATTTCACAGTAAATATTTTTTTTTAGTTAAAAATAAATTATATGAAAAACAACGAACAGTTTATCACAACTATTATTTGCCTCTTATCTACTTTCGCCTAACAACGGAGCAGTACAATCGGTATTGCATGGCTTCATAGTGATGTGGATTTTTTAAAGTTAACCGATCGCTGGTGAAATAATGACTAATTATGGAAATGTTTACAACATCACACAATTTAAATAATTACAGTATTTGTAACTTGAACAGGATTCGTCATATGTAGCTGCCATACAATCAGACGCATGCAAAAACAAAAAATCTAAATCTCTTGTATGGATTCTTTTGTACATTTAAAGGGATTATAGTTTCGGTGCAACCGAAGTTAACGTGCTTTCTTATACCGAAGATTTTCGGTTAGCCAAACAGGTCATACATAACCTGAAATAAATGTAATAAACCAATTATCAGTATTGAAGAAATTGATATAACGGTAAAATTACAATAAATTATATTTGTACATACATATTTATTATATTTTCTCTCATTTGGTACTCAATGAAATTTATGATAAGAGGAGCGGCCTACTTTGTTTCCGCAAGGAGTATATTTTTATTTTTTTT